GGCTAAAATTACAGGCCAATCGTAGTGAAGAACATTAATATTATAACTTCTCTGCATGTTATAATATATTCCCACAAGGTAGTATAATTCTTTCTGCTTCATTACCTAAAATCAAGACAGACCCTGAGACACAGGTATTTATTAATAAGAATCACAGTACCAGACTATCTTATACTCGAGGGCTATAAGGAAACAGGTGACTCCCACTCTTTTTCTTCTTGACTTCCATGAGCCATTTTCCTCCATTACTAAGTTCTTGGTCTTTAAAAGCTGTTTCATGGGTGTTAGATGCCACAAGTCTCAGATGTACAATAAGTGTTATTCAGACAACACAATGGGAATTAGAAGTCTTCTTTAGGCTTCATGATTATGAAGTTGCCCATAACTTGGATGAACTTTACACAAGCCATGGCTACAATTTCACTTCATCTATTACTTAATATTTGATAGTAGTAGCTACATCTGCTCAGGTCTGAACCATGCATTCTTCATAGTTATAACAAAAGGGAACTTTGGGGAAAAGAAATGCCTTCATTCTGATCAAAAAAGAAAACCTTTTTGACAGATAATGCATAGCTGTCATTTTATGTTTTTCAGCTCTACAGTTTCTGAAATTTCTATCCCTTTTATCAACACTAGAGGAAGAGGGACTTTTAAAGTATGTAAGGTATAATACACAGGCCACTTGATATAATTTCTTTTTTGTCTGGGTTTTGTATTTTTTTAAAAGCTAGGATTTTAAGAGACCTTTGAAATAGATAACTTCAAAAAGTTATTCAGCATAAATGTAAATGAGATATATGTCTGGAAGAGATAACCAGTTCCTACAGGTTGTTTTAACAAATTCAGAACACCCAAAGTACAACTTGAAAATGTGAACTAAACCTAAAAGATTTAACAACTAATTCTGTGATTGGATTTTTTGTTTTTTGTACTGACTTCTCTTATTCTATATTACCACTATATGAAAGTTATTATCTTATGAATTTTTACTTTACCATATTCCAATTCCTTTCTCTATAGCCCTCCTACTCTATGCCAACAGAGAGAACTAATGGTGAATGCTAACACTGGAAAAAGGAGGATGTGGTAAGATCAAATTGATGAAATAATAGAAAGAGGACAAAGGGAGACAAGATACAAGGATCTTGATTTCCTGATGTCGAACACAACCATTCATGCAATGGAGAGTTGCAAAGGACAGAAACCCCATCAGAGAGAGAAACACATTTAAAAAAGAGCAATTTTTGTTCCTTTTCCTTTGTTTAGATCTCTGGTAGTGTTGAGTGGCTTGAGCACAACTGAAATGATATAACAAATATTCCTGCAAGCAACCAATAAATAAAAGACAGCATGAGGAAAGTCTGGACTGGCTCCATGATTAAGGTCTAGGCTCGCTAGCACTGACCACTTATACTACCTCTGCCAAGAGCATAAGCCATGAATCCTAACTACATTTCTAGCAGCAAAAGCCTTGTGGCCAAGCAAGGAGAATCAGGGAGGAAGCAATCCAGACCAAAGATGTATAAACATGTGAACTTTACCTCTTACCCATGAATGGCAGCATTTGCCAAAAGACATAGATTTAACCTAAGAGTAACCACTTTAACCTGAGGGACTTCAAGACACCTTTAACTGGCAAGTTAAGATTTAAGTCCACTAACCTCTCTCTAATGAACTATTTCCTTCTCCTGATGTGTTACCATGCCATTTTTCAGTATTGGGAGGGCAGTGAGGAATTTAAAAAGTATGAAATTGTTGTAGAAAAGACTACATTTTCCTCATAATTTTTATCCTTTCTACATGTTATCAAGAAAGTAAAAGTAGATACACCAAGAGAATAGTGCTTCCCATAGAGTCCCCTTATTAATATTTGACATAAGGTTGACTCATGATAGTGTTTACAAAGAAATATTGTTCCACTGATAAAATAAGATTCTTGTTTCACATACCCTAAGACAGTCACATTTTATTCCTGAAAGTAAATTAATATTTATTGAAACATTCACTATGCATTAGTAAGAAGTCACAGTATTTAAAATGTATTTATCACAAGAAGAGTCTCTAAAGCTAAGAATCCTTTTCAGTAGTACATCTCAATACTTAAAAAGTCAAAGTATAAGCTGCCTGATGACTTAAAACAGAGCTTCAAAGAGGACAATCCTTCATGATGTGAGACAGGGGTCTGATCCTCAGCTTTTCAAATATGTTGATCAGGCTCTAAGAAACCAGCATGTGCCAACTAAATATAGAGTTGACCAAATGGACCTATTGTGTAAAACATGTCTGTCCAAGTATCACCTCTACAGTCTGAAAACTTTTCATTGCTTGTTGATTATCATTTAGTTTTAGAGACTGATCCTATTCCCAGCCAGAAACAGAGATTTTTGCCTTAGGTAAAAAACAAAAGTTGAAGATCTAGAAAATAAATCTGGGTCAAACCAACTTTCAATATTCAAAACAAACTTGACAGAGTTTTTAGCTTAATGAATAAAGTTGGACAAAGGACCTCTAACCTGCAGATATTATTTAACATATCTAATCAGTTAAGGTGTTAACCTGTAGAGAATTAACTGAGTAATGAAAATTGGTACCATAATGGCCTGTGTTAATGGTCACAAATTAAGTTAACTTCCTGGTTCAAGGTAATTTATCCTTTTTTTTTCTTTTTTGGCAATTCGCTCTTTTGGTTCTTGTTTTTGAGTCCACCCACCATATCCTTGTTTGCTAATATCAAGGTAATTTCTTAAAGTTCATGTCTATAGAGCACCCCAACCCACCCCCAGTTCTAATAACATACTATGCCTTCTTTCTCTCCTGATAGCCACATAAGTGGAGAATCAGACAATTAACTATCTTAAGAACCTATCCATGGGCTGAAAAATATGATCCTTGTAAATCTTTCCTTGGCATTTCTTACACTCTAGCTGATTTAACACATTTTCCTATGAGGCAAATTGTAATGATATGAGCTTAGAAGGAATTATGCCTACATAGTTTACTATAAGAAAGAACTGATCTGAGAACAATGATAATATGCAGAAAGATCAAAAGAGAAACAGAGATATTTGTAATGATATTTGAAGTCCTGGTTCCAGTTGCCCCTGATATGAGCTTTTTCCTAGTAATTGGAGTCAACAAGTTCTCTTTTCGTCTTTATCTATTTCCTACTAGATTACTCTTACTGGAAATTATTAGAGTTTTCATGAATAAAACTAGAAAGAGGAAACACCCAACCACATGGATATGTAAGACTGTCAGCATTGTGATAGTTGAATAACAGTAACAGTTCTTGTTAATTGTGCAATTTTGACTTAAAATTTCTGAGTTTCAGTTCATTATCTGTGGAGTGGGACCCATAGTTACCATACTGCATTACTGAAGAATTAAGAATAATGTATGTAAAGTGTTTAGCATGATGGTTCACCCAAAGCACATGCTTAAAATTGCTAAAAATGTATTGTTCTGATAATGGAGATGTGAAGATAATGATGATGATCCTAAGAAAACAAAGACTAAAAACTCAGACTCATATGTGATTTTTCCATTAAAAACATTCCTGCTTAAATACATGTTAATAAAGAAAGTCACAAGGACTAAAAAAGAAAAATGTAACAAAATGAGAAATAATTATAAATAAAATAGATTCATAAACTCCACAAGCTAATTTTTGAAAACCTAATCTATAATAGGTAAGCATTTGCAGTTGAAAGCTTACTAGAAGCCAATGGAATAGTCTTATTTTGGAGAATAGGTTTAATATGAAAGCAAAACAAATAAGCTCAATATAACTATTCTCTGAGAATGGATGTAGCAATAGTTTTAGGCCCAACTCAAATATCTCCATAGTAACAAAGCCTTCCATGATATCATCAAATCCATGCATAATTTTTACTATATACCACATCTCTGGCAAGTAGTCTTTCTTTCATTGTATTTATTTGTTTACCCTTCTACATTATAAAAGCTTCATAATGAAGCAAGTTCCCTCCTTTCATATTCAAATCCTATATTATAGTTTGAGAATTTGTTCAAAATTAGAAGCTCAAAATACAACATTTAAATTAAAATGAGGGCCTCCCCTGGTGGCGCAGCAGTTGAGCACTGGGTTACAAGGCTGCCTGCAGCCTCTGCAGCGCCAGTTCGATCCCCAGCCACCGGGCGAGGGTCCCACTAAATAAATAAATAAATAAATAAAATTCTGTAAGTATAGCAGGAGTCAATATATGAATTCTAATCTTGCCTTTGTCATTTATTAATTGTGTTCCCTTGACTAGCCTTAAAGTTTTATACTCACAGTTTTGGCCTCCAAAATTATCTTCTCTAACCTCCTACTGCAATGCAAGAATTGTATCTAAAATGCATTTGCTATCTATATAGACACACTGAGTAGTCTACCAAAAATAATCTGCAATCAAATTCATAACAATTTTTGGCATATTTATTATCTTTTTCAATGAACAACTCAAAAAACAATGCTATAAAAGTCCCAATGTCATAGATTTAGCAATGCAGATTGAGAATTCTCACTCAATAATGGTGTTTTTTCTATACACAGAATCACTTACTTGTATTTTAGAAGTGTTAAAAAGCTTTTGGAAAGCTTACCACTCTCAGTAATTGTCTTACTCGTATAGTATACCTCACTGATTGGTTTGGATAGTTAAATAACATGATATGAAATTTCTTTGTAAAGCACAAAATGCTCTAATATATCAAGTAGAAATATTATGATAATGATGATGTTCATGGTAGTGATAATGATAGGAAAGAGAAAATTATGTACTTTGAATGCTTTGTTACTCTAATATTTACATGCTATTAAATGAAACACCTATTGGGAACTGTGTCTCCTTATGGAAAAGCTCTGGATTTTTATTTTTATTTTCATTTTCTCTTCAACATTTGAGTACAATTTAAATATATGATTTTCTGAGGTGATTATCTACTATACTATATTTACTTAGAAATTATGGTTATCTATGTATGCAGATACATACCTTGGAAAGGGATGGCAATTGACTTGATGAAATTTCTGGTCTTTCTGGAAAAAGTCTCTGAAACATTGGTATATACGAAAATTGCATGTGGAACTGTATATTCTGGGCCTTTGCTTCCTGGCTGAGTTGAAGTTCCCTCTCTTTTGCTCCTAATTGTTCTTTCAGTTGAAATTGGAGCCCAGTTAAAGCTTGTAACATATTTTTCTTCTCACTATTAATGAATATCTTTTTAAAAAAAATCTCTGCCAAAATAAGAAACCACGCAAAAATTATTTTCTTTTATTACCCAAGATTACATATTATAAAATAAATCTAGTATATGATAGGGGGAGCATCTGAAAGAGAAAAATAAACTCACTTTTTAATGGTTATGGTTCACCCACAAAGATACAATTCTTAATGTTCAAGTTAAAAAAAAAAAAAGATGAGAAGAAACAGTTGGCATTCAGCTAACAATTGTGTTTGGAGATTTGTGCCTGACTTTGTTATTCTGAGCAAAGCCAGGTACCAGTCTCTTGGGATTATGTACAAAGGCAAGGAAAAAAGTGGACATGTACAAACCTCAAAGGTGACTGCTGGGTTAATAAAACAGTCTGTTTTCTGTTCACCCACTCTTGCTCTCAGTGTGCAAGTATATTAAAATATGTCAAAAGGAAAACCATTCGCTGTGCAAAAATAATTCAACTACAAGACACAATTTCCAGCTGGTGGAGTACCTTAGCGCATTTAAGCACACTAACAAGTGTCCCATACATCTGCCTGGATGAAAGTTGTATCCTTATTAAAGGGAAAACAAACACAAAATAGGAACAAATGTCACAGAAAAAAACAGATCATAACAATAGATACTGCATTTTCCCCACTCAGTTTCTGACTTATCACAAATTGAAGAGCAATGCTGTCCTAGAAGTAACCTCTTAAAAAGCCATGAAAGTAAAACAGGGAAGCTGCTAGAGGAACTGAATGTGTAGCTAATGGCCATCCATGTTACTGTTCAATCGATATGGATAAACAACTTTTTCTTTCTAATCTCTGTAAAATCTCATACCACATAAGACACTACAATAATGTGAAGTGGTCGGATTAAACTAACACACCACAGAGAATTTAGAAGTAATGCTCTAACATATCTTTAAATAACCTCTTAGAAAAATCTGGTTTAAGCCTTTATAAGATATCATACCAACCTTTACTGTGTGATTTTTCTCTAGAGAACTGTATCACAGATACAAATCTGCAAAAAAAAAAAAAATTAAAAATAGAGGTTAATGTTGTTCCACTCTAATATTGTTCTTGTTTGATATGTCACACATTATTGTAAGGTAAAAACACACACTGGATACAAAATGTGATAGCTCTGCTTATAGGCACAGGAGAATATACAAAAGGAACATAAACCTTCAAAAAGCAGATAATTATCTGAAATTATATGGGGAAAATATTTGAAAATAGTTGAACAACTACTAAACTATTTTCACAGCAATTACCATATATTACTACAATTGTCTGTTTACTTCCTGCTACCTCCCACCTCACCATTAAAATGCAAACTCCTCAAAGGCAAGATTTTATATATGTCATTTATTATGCTGTTAGAGCCCTTATCTTGTAAGTCCCTGGCACATAGTAGGAATTCAATAATTATCAATTGGTTGGTTGGCTAATTGATTTAAAATAGTTGTACACTTGACAATCTGTGTCACACTTTGAACTGCCAACTCTTTACTGGGAAACAAAGGATGAACTAAAAAGGGAAGACAGGTCTAGGAAGACATCAACAATTTTATGACAAACTGTAACTCAGGAACAATGAATATATGCATAGACAAGTGGAACTACTCAACTCTGAATTATGCTTTAGACTAGAATACATAGAACAATTATTAAAATGAAATTGAAGTCCAATATAATAGAAGTATAGGTAATAAGGGATCAGAAAACTAATCTAAATAAATTAAATTCTTGAAGCCCAGAGCAATTATGTGAGCTTGGAAACAAGAGAAGTATTTGAGGAACCAAAGTTAATGACGAGTAACTTATTAAAAATGGGAAATGACAGATTTGTACACCAAGAACTAGTGAGTTTGATTTTTTAACCTCCATGAGATTCTTAAGCAGTTTGTTAAACACATAGTCTATGAAATCATGACAAATAAATTGGAATTCACTAGGAAATGTGAAGAGAATGAAAACAGTATTATGAAAAGACAAAAGTTCATATTTCTATTTATGCCCCAGTCAGATTTCTCCTTTCTCCTATTTGTTGTGAATCAAATTGTGTCCCCCACCAAAAAAATATATTTAAGTTCTAAACCCTGGTACCTGTAAACATGACCTTATTTTGATAATTTGCAGAGAGGGAAGTTAAGAGATGTGTTTTTCTACATGCAACAATTGTCCTCTTGAAATTTGAGAGTAGCCTACATGGTGGAGGGAACAGGAGTCTAGAGACATGAAGGGTTTCTGCACATTACAAATTTCAGTAAGATAAAAAGATGTAGGCTTCCAGGGCATGCCAGAAAGTAGAACTGGGTGAAAGACATTTCTTCTGACCACTAGAAACAATTAAATTTTGCTTCATAAAAGCACATCCAAGCCACACACCCTCAGTAATAAACATCAGTGGTGTCCCCAGTTAAGACTGAAGTGCAAAGAATGGCTGCAGACATTTGAGGGGCTAAAAGAAAGTCACCAGCCAAGAAAAGACCTTGGACCATATCACTTTCAAAGATTCAAGGAGGCCCTTAAGGTAAAGGGGAAGGAGAATATTTGACAAAGGATGAAGTTAAAAAACCAAAAGAGAAAAATTTCCCCCATGCTGATTTTGTCACGAGCACTGACGATACCCAAGAAAAAGGGACAAGAATGGCAGATCATTTGTTGTTAGGGTGCATTTTTGTTAATTAAGCCTTTTTCTCATGGCTATTAGGAATACTACATATAATTGGAAACCTTCTAGATGTGAAATGTATTTTTCTCATTATTGACTAGAAATACAGTGCCCACAATACTCCTCATAGATATAACTGGTATTTTTATATTGAGTTATTTCCAACACACGGTTTCAGTTTCAGACACCCACTATATTCCTTTCCTGTGGATGCTTTTAAAAAAAATTACCAAAAACTTGGCGACTTAAAATAAAATAAATATTTCTCTTATAGTTATTTGAAATCTGTTGCCGTGGGTTAAAGTTAACGTGTCAGTAGGACTGGTTTCTTCTGGAAATTTTAAACAAGAATGTCCTTACTTTTTTTCATATTTAGCTTGTGATTCCTTCCATCTTCAATGTATCACTCTAATCTCCAATGACAGTCCTTCTCCCTGATCTGACTTGAGTCCCTCTTGTAAGGACTATTGAGATTACATTGGGGCCACCCAGATGACCCAGGATAATCTCCTAGTCCCAAGATCCTTAATTTACTCACATCTGCAAGGTCCCTTTTGCTACATAAAGTAACTCCTAGAGTTTCCAGCAATTAGAACATAGACAGATTTGGGTAATGTTTATTCAAAATACAAAACCCACTTTAAAAGAAACATTATAGTGTAGGAATGGCATAGAGTGAAAGCATGAACTGGTTGTGCTTGCTTCACAAACACTTATGATGCCTTTTATTGCTGAGATATTTTCTACATGCTTTATAAATTGTAGCTCATTTAATCCTCATGACAGTCTTAGGGGATAGGGATTACCGTAATCTTCATTTTCTTGATAAGAACTTCAGGCACAGAAAGTTTAAGTTCATTGCACATGGTTTGGTGGTTATTTAGAGCCAAAATTAATCCAAATCCTGCCTCTTAACTGTGCCTTGACATGGGTATTTTCATGGGGGGAAATAACCCTATTTTACATGGTTGGTGTGAGTACTAAGTAATGTGTATAAAATGTTTATCACTGTTGCTGATTCCAATTTTACTATTACACAATCAATGATAAAATAAATATATTAGACATAATGATAAAGAAATGGGAAAAGAAGAGTAAGAATGGTTAGCAAACTGGAAGAGAAGAATGGTTAGTGAACTGGTAGCTTATTTGGAGAGAAAAAGAATCATGGGAATGTGATAGCTTGAAACATGTGATGAACTTTCATGTGAAAGGGAAAAACAGATTTATTTTAATGTCTCTACAAAGAGCCAAACTAAAACCTAAGGGTGAAAATCACATGGTGGCAAGATCTAGCTCAAAAAAATAAAGGGGTCCTCCCTGGAGGCGCAAGCGGTTAAGCACCGCACTAAGAAGCAATCTGCAGCCTCTGTAGCACTAGTCTGATCCCCAGCCAGCCAGGGAGCAACCCACACAGCACAGCAGACCTCTCCTGTCTCACCCGCTGCTCCCCTCAGCAGTGTATTTCACTCAGTCTGCCTGTTCTGTTCCCCACTCTGTCTCTGGTGAATCCTCTCACACCCTCACCCCTGTATCTCTGGCCTGTACCCCAGCTCTTATATGCATAAATAAATAAATCTTTAAAAAATTATAATAAAAAATAGAGAATCTAATCATTACAGTGATCCACCAATGAAGAAGACAGTCTTAGAGTATTCTAAGTTTTTAGTCCATTAGAATGCTCAAGCACAGGCTAAATGACTCTGTGGTATATAAAATATGGAAAGGATTTCAACAATGAAAGGGACATTAAAATGCATTCATTCATATATTCAGCAAATACTTGCTTACCATCTTCTGTTTGCAGCACCCATAAAAGTTTCCTTACAACTCTAAAAATAATAGAATCTACTATTCTATGAATGAGCAAATAAGAATATATGTCGCAAACATAATTTCAGGCTGATTCTCATAGAAGTCTCCACAGGTTCTTCAACTACCATGCTCCATTACAGGTCTGGTGTGATTCTCTAATTAATTTTATTTTCACAATCATTTGTCACTATGGGTACAGTCAGAAGCACAGGAGGGTGAGAGAATTCACCAGAGCGGGGAGCAGAGCAGGCAGAAGGACCGAAGTACACTGCTGAGGGGAGCAGCGGGCGCCAGGAGAGGGCTGCGCGCCATGTGGGACCCTCCTCCGGTGGCCAGGGAGCAGCCGGGGATCGAACTGGCGCTGCAGAGGCTGCGGGCAGCTTTGCAACCCAGTGCTCAACCGCTGCGCCACTGGGGAGGCCCTAGAATCTGTTTTTAATAGGAAAAAACAACCATTTTTTTACACTCTGCAAGAAGGGACTTTTCTTAAACGGAGAAGAGAATTTTATCCCATAATAGTTACTTTTCTTTTCAATCCTTGCCAACAAATATAGCAACAATCAACATCTTTTTTTTTTTTTTTTTTTTTTTTTTTTAAGATTTATTTATTTATTTATACATGCACTGGGTACAGTCAGAAGCGCGGGAGGGTGAGAGAATTCACCAGAGCCAGAGCGGGGAGCAGAGCAGGCAGAAGGACCGAAGTACACTGCTGAGGGGAGCAGCGGGCGGCAGGAGAGGTCTGCGCGCCATGTGGGACCCTCCTCCGGTGGCCGGGGAGCAGCCGGGGATCATCTTTTAACAAATAAGGGGAAAGACGTGACTCTTCTCATTTATCTGCAATGTTACTTTTGGAAGAGTTTGGCTTTGTCACTGTCTCCAGTAAAAGATACATACTTTACACACACTTCTGAACCCACAAGTTTATTACGGTAGACATAAATTAAGTCTGACATGTTCTGGAATTTAACAACTGTCTACCACTCTCTTACCTAATCTCTCTGACTTTTGGAAAATTACCTGAATTACACAAAGTAATTCAAGAAAATCTCTAACCCTTTAGTGAAATGTGCCCAGTGTCGGTACCACCCATATGGCGCTTCATTATATAACACCCAGTGACATTTATTACACAGCTGTTAGCATGCATCAGAATTAACTAGAAAATTGGGTGGTTATATGTCTGATTTTTTGCTACTTTCAATACCTTCTCTATAGATATAAAGTGGGGATGATAACCACCTTCATGCAAGTCAATCTTTAATGAGCTCTTGTTATGTGATGGTCACATCATGTATCCCATCACAGGCAATCCTTTCAACACTCTGGTAAATGCCACCTTTATCCTGGTCTAAAGACAGAAGGGACAAGATTAAAACCCAAAGGGATTTGGAGCTTTTGAACTCCTACTGACCTATAAACTCCCTCCACAATTTTTTATATATATATTATTTTTTTTACATCATTCTTCCTTTTTGTACAGGGTCTGCTCTCTCCTCGCAGATGTAGTCTCATAGAATTCCCACCAC